TCTCTCTTACATTTCCACATACCAGTCCCTGTCTGCACTCCAGTTGTTTCCACATCTCAATCCTCTCTTTTCTTTTCCTGTTCACTTCTTCCGTTGAATACCCACCTTACATTCATAACGCCCCTTACTTGCCGCAATCTGTGTGTCTCCCTAACTATTTATCTCGGAGTCTCCCTAGCTAACCCCAACATCCACTTCCAGTACTTGGTCTGTACATCCTCTAAAAGCCCTTACTTCTTCCATCTCCATATCTCCACCTGATACATCACTACGCTTTTTGTCAAGCTCTCAAACATTAATTTTCTTTTTCCCACATCTCTCCCAAAAACCCTTTCATTCCATCCCCAAACCTGTCCCATAACCTTATTCACCCTCACAGCCAACATTCTAATATGTCCTCCCTCCTTGTTGTTCTCTTTAAATTTGTACCCTAAGTATGTGTACTCCCTCACTTCCTCGATCATCATACCCTCCCATCTCCTATCGTCAGTCCTCCTTCAACCCCCTTTACAGACCCTCATCGTTTTGTCTACATTCACTTCCAAATCCTTCCGGTTAAAATATCTTTCTAGCAACCGCATCATTGCCCTCATCTCAGCCGCCTCCCTCGCTATCACTACCAGCTTTATACAGAATACTTTTATAGCGTCCTACGCTTTCCGGTTCTCACCTCCCAGCCTTTTCTATCTTCCCGATCTCAGGTTTTTCTCTGACATTATCTCATAAATGCCGTTTATCCAGGTAACCACTGGAAAGCAAGGTATGGAATTCTCTATTCTAACCTCGTTCGTCCTATGAATGACACTATTTCCTTACACTTGTTTCATTTTCGTTTTGATTCACCATTCGTTGCCAATCGGCATGTTATTTTATTATTTTCATTTTTCTTGTTTAGCTGCTGTTTGTTTTTTCGTTTTTTTATTCTGTTTTGTCACTCTAAGTCAACTGGCTATTATACAGGGTGCGGCAACATAACTTCCTTTTTGCAAAACTTAATAAAACCTATTGTATGAATCCGAAAATTTTGATTTGTCTTTTGTAATGTAGGCACATACATAAAGTTTTGTTTTACACAGTTTTGAAGATCAAATCAGGTAGGTTACGTCCCCCACTATCCATACAAGACAAACGCCACAAATGCGTTTTACTCAGTAAACCGATTTCTGGCGTTTGTCATTACTCTTGTCAGTATAGCAGGGGTTATGTCGGCAATTTCTTCCTGGATCTTGGTCTTCAAATCTTGTAGAGTCCTATATACGGTTTACATAAACACGGCATTCCAAAAGAAAACCCATAGGAAAACATCACAAAGAGCCAAATTGGGAGACCGGGCCGGCCACTCCAATGCGACCCTAATTGAGATTAGGCATTTTGGGAAGTGTTCCCTCAAAACACCCATCGATGCTCTCGAAGTGTGAGCCGTTGCACCGGCTTGTTGGAACCAAACATCCCCTAAGTCCAACTCATCTAGCCGTGGTGATCGCAACACTACTAAAGCTCTCACTGCCTCAATGTTCTGAGGTGCTCTAATGGGACTCCAGTTCTTCGATTTGTCGGACTTGCAGTTTGTCTGAACGTAGTGACTCACGTAACAATTGATTACCGATCCGGGACAGGAGCCAACGGGGCTAAATTAAAGCGATTCCGAAAGACCCACTGGGTTGCGATCACAGAATATCCGCTCGCAAAGTAGGCATCAACGGAAAACGCACGCTCTTCACTGTTCCAACGCATGATGGCGCCTGAACTTTGTCAGAACAAAACTTTATAATACACCCTCTCGAACGAAACCACTAGCGCTCCGCTACATCAACCGACCAAATGGCGTACATTTCGAAAAAGGAAGTTATGTTGCCGCACCCTGTATTTGGTGTAAGTGATATACTTAAAATATCTAATGCTTCTTCAGCTGCTGAATACAATGTTTCAACTATGTGTTTATGCACTATTCTGGACTTATGTTGTAGTAAGCTATCGTTTAGTTTTTGATAGAGGCGGTTTCGATAATGTATTTTTCACCTTCTGACTGGTATACGATCATGGGTTCGTACCAAATTGTGGTGCTACTCTGACTGTTTAGTTGATATTTTTTTACAATTACTTAATCAATTATAAATTATAAGCTTCCAGTTTGTTGGTGCCATGTGTATTTGTGTGTATCTTTGAGTTTATCAATCCCATTTAAAATTTGTAGAAGTTGTTTGCAAATCTGTATCAGTTTTTGTCCATTATAATTCAGGACATGTTCTCCATACCTTCCAGTGGTCCTATTATTTATCTTTTCTCCTGTACTGGCATTAAATTCACCCATAAGAATATTTTCTCGTTGATACGGATTTTGCAAAAGCATTCGATAGGGTGGAACATGATACGCTTCTGCACAAGCTGGCACAACACGGGTTTTCTTATTCTACTCTTAGTTTTTTTGTTTCATATTTGTCCAACAGATTTTATTACGTCTCTTATAAAAACGTAGTATCAGATTATTCAGAGGTTCCGCAGGGTAGTAATCTGGGACCTTTGTTATTCTTGTTATTTATAAATGCTTACTCTTTGCGGACGATATGAAGGTATTCACAACTGTACATGACTTAACTGACTGCCGGTCCTTACAGTCTGATTTAGATAACGTATTTAATTGGTGTCGGCTCAACAAGCTCCATTTTAATGTGTCTAAATGTGAGTCAATGACGTATACATTGAGGAAAAGGTCGATAGAATTTGTATATAAAATAAATAATGTGAATTTGAGGTGTGTTGTTAAAAAGAGAGACTTGGGTGTGTTGTTTTTGCCTGGTTTATGCTTTGCTGAACATATTAAAGCCACAGCAACCACAGCTTTGCGTCTCTTAGGATTTGTCATTAGAAATGGGTACAGTTTCTCAAACTTACAGACACTGCAATTACTGTTCAATTCTTTAGTGCGATCTAAGCTGGAATATGCGGTAATAGTATGGGATCCCGGGTCAATTCTTTATTTTAATTTAATAGAAACTATTCAAAATAAATTCATTAGGTATCTCTACTACAAAAAATTCCGTGTTTTCATTGGTTTTAGATCGTACGAATTTGCACGCAAATTATTTAAGATCACCAGGTTGTCTCTCAGAAGAAAAATTATATCACTCTGTTTTCTACATAAAATGTTGAATAATAGTATAAATGCTCCATTAATATTAGAAAATATTGGTTTCTATGTTTTCAACTGAACTGAGACGAAATTCTCCTCTTATTAGAATCCTTTCACTGTACAACACACTGTCGGCTTCTTCCTTCATACCTCTGTTTGGCATTGGTATTAGATCGTTTAAACAACATTTGACACCTTTGATAAGTGCTGCAGCCACCCAGTAGCCAAACTTGATTTTTGTCATTGAATTCTGTAATTTGTGATGTAATTCTGTTCATTTTTTAAAGTTTTTGTTCAACATATCCTCCGCGCGTTCTGTGATGGGTTAATTAACATTTATGCCTGATCTTGGTTGTTTTGCTTGTTTTTATTGGTTATATTATGTACTAGTAGACTTAAGTTCTGAAATTTGTAATTAGGGGCAACCCTGTAATTTCGGAAGTAAAATAAAGTAAATAAATAAATACCAATGACCGTTGTCCCGGGTCCCCTCAAATTAAGATTTGAAGTCGCTGTTCTTTCATTTATGGTTCTCAATCGGATAAATTGTTTTTAGTCTTTTTACTGATTAAAAGGGATACTTCCTTACTTAATATAATTACGAAGGCTTTCACGGTCGGTGTTAATTTAACTAAAACTAGAACTAACACTAGAACTAGGAACTTTCGAGTTAAGCCATTTTTTGAGAAAATGTTTAATGTTTGGGATGCCATGTTGCAACCTTCTTCAGAAACAAGTTCAAAGTGACTTCGAAGGATTGCTTTTAGGGATTCCACTAAATAATATGAATATATTCTCCTGTATATTTGAAACAGTTTCCTTTCTACTTTGTATCCGTAATAACAGCAATATCAACTTTATCCCGTTTCATAATTTTCTCGACGTCCTCTAATTCTCATCTTAGCCTTGACAATACCTTGCCGTATCTTGACAAGGTGCTACCATGTGGGCTAGATGAAGCCTGGTTTTTTAGCCGGTCTTAGTCTAATAATTTCGTGTAACAATTTAACATGATTGTTAATCAACGCGGACGTTCGATTAATAAATTCCTTACTAAAAACTCAACGTTACCTTTGGAAGATTCACTTTCGCTTAATGTTAACGTAACGCTATCCGTCGATTAACGTTTGATTAACGCCTTATAAACTGTATTTTCTTTATAACGTAACAACAAACAAAGCTACCAAGCTTAACGCACGATTAGCACGCCAGGAGGCGCTATGCTGATTTTCTGTTTGGGCAGCAGTGTTCGCAATACCTGTAAATCTCTTAATAGTCACAGATCTTGCTTTTGCGTTTGAATGTTTTTGTAATCTTTTTGTTCTACCTAAATTTGTTCTTAATTTCTGGGGAACCCTTTTGAGTACTGACATGGTATCGATAACGACTTGTTGTGGCCTTTGGTAGTATTCACCTAAGTATTATATGTTAAAACTTAGTAGTTAAAACTCTTGTTTTGTTTATAGCTTTATACCGTTGTCGCGATTCTTTTTTTTTATATTTAACACGCTATACTGTTTTTTTTTCTCTTTATATACTTTATGGTGAGGTGGAAGAACAATATATATTGAATCTCACCATAAGATTGATCAGTTGTTTATTGGAAACCATTTTTAGTTGTTTATTCTGAAGTGTAGTACATTGTGATCAATAAATATTATTATTATTATTATTATTATTGTCACGATTGGTCTCCGTTAACATACAATCATGAATTGATAGCAGCATCAATTTTTGATAAAATATAACGTTATTGTTGTGTAAAACACTTGATATTCCGGAATTGATATTCGTTTTTGTTAAACACTAATAAACATATCTTTAGATAGAAAACTAATATGTATTATTAATATAGAAATTTAAATTTTAGGTTTAAGTATTCAAACCCGACTGAAATAAATTCAACACCACAGAAAAACCCAAAAACCTAAAACATGGGTAAAGAAAAAATTCATATAAATATCGTAGTGATTGGCCACGTAGATTCCGGTAAATCGACCTCGACCGGTCACCTAATCTACAAATGCGGTGGCATCGATAAACGTACCATCGAAAAATTCGAGAAAGAAGCTCAAGAAATGGGAAAAGGGTCGTTCAAATACGCTTGGGTATTGGACAAATTGAAAGCGGAACGCGAACGTGGCATCACCATCGATATTGCATTATGGAAATTCGAGACGGCGAAATATTACGTGACCATCATAGATGCCCCGGGACATCGCGATTTTATCAAAAATATGATTACCGGGACGTCTCAAGCGGATTGTGCTGTATTAATCGTTGCAGCCGGAACCGGAGAATTCGAGGCGGGGATATCTAAAAACGGACAAACCCGCGAACACGCTCTCTTGGCTTTTACGTTGGGAGTTAAACAATTAATTGTTGGAGTTAACAAGATGGATTCAACGGAACCGCCGTATTCGGAAACTCGTTTTGAAGAGATTAAGAAAGAGGTTTCGTCGTATATTAAGAAGATTGGGTATAATCCGGCCGCGGTGGCTTTTGTTCCGATTTCCGGTTGGCACGGCGATAATATGCTGGAGCCGTCAGACAAGATGCCGTGGTTTAAAGGGTGGGTCGTTGAAAGAAAGGAAGGTGGCAAGGCCGAGGGGAAAACGTTGATTGAGGCTTTAGATGCGATTTTGCCTCCGAGTCGTCCAACGGAAAAACCGCTAAGACTTCCATTACAGGTTTGTACAAAAAATTAACAATAAAAAATATTTTAACCCCAAAATAATGTAACGAATCTTTTTAGGATGTCTACAAGATTGGTGGAATTGGTACAGTTCCTGTTGGTCGAGTCGAAACAGGTATTTTAAAACCAGGAATGGTAGTCGTTTTTGCTCCAGTTGGTCTGACCACTGAGGTGAAATCGGTTGAGATGCATCACGAGGCTCTCCAAGAAGCCGTACCTGGCGACAATGTTGGTTTCAACGTTAAAAACGTTTCCGTAAAAGAATTACGTCGCGGATACGTCGCTGGTGATTCTAAAAATGCACCTCCCAGAGGAGCCGCCGATTTTACCGCTCAAGTAATCGTCTTGAATCATCCGGGAATGATCGCCAACGGATATACTCCCGTTTTGGATTGCCATACGGCTCACATTGCTTGCAAATTTACCGAAATCCAAGAAAAATGCGATCGTCGTACTGGAAAGGTAATCGAAACATTGCCGAAAAATTTAAAAAGCGGAGATGCGGCAATTGTTAAGTTGGTTCCGTCGAAACCAATGTGCGTTGAGTCGTTTCAAGAGTTTCCGCCATTGGGGCGGTTTGCCGTTCGCGATATGCGTCAAACCGTTGCCGTTGGCGTGATAAAGTCTGTAACGTTTAAAGATACAACGGGGAAGGTAACGAAGGCCGCGGAAAAGGCCCAAAAGAAGAAATAACTAGGCTTAGAACGAAGCATGTTGTCGTCCGTGAAAGTTGAAAAAGCTTTCGAAAAGGACGTCTTCATTAACGACCATCGATTACCGTTTTCTAGATGGATAAAGCAGAATTATTTTCACCGAAAGGAGTTTAGAAGGAAAAGTGATTGTCGGCGTTCCGTCGGTGATTTCGAAACCTACTATTCAAATTTCCATTACCACCACCTCCCGTTTTTATTATTACGATTATTAACGTTACCATTATTATGATTGTTAATTTTTTTAGTATTTTTTTATTCCTATCGATTTCGATTGTTGATTTTCTTATGTTTGTTTTCTCATTGATTGTTTTTCCAAAAGGCACAGTTTTTTTTATTGAATGTAGATTTAAGTTTTTTGTTTGTTTGATTCTATTTAACAATTTATTAAAACGTATCTTCGTTTTATGTTGACTATTTGATGATAGACTTGAATACTTTAAATGTTGAACTGTAACAGCTTCTGTACATAACCAAATAAAGAAGCTCTGATCAAATTTGATGCTTTATTTTATCATCTGCATAATATAGAATTATGCAAGGTAGATAAACATAAGGTATGCTCATACGGCAAACGAATTGGCACTCGCATGTCATAACTGCGTCATTATACGTCTATGATAACGTACGAGAGCCAATTCGTTCGCATTATGTATGAATATAGTTATATGTATACCCAGGTGTATCAATTGTTAACCTCGGTTATCTGACTTATACTGTTATACCCTACCTTTGTCGCTATAAAACTTGCTGCTGACAACATTGTTAACTCCAATTTCAGTGGTAAGACCTTTACAATCTTTACCGACAGTAGACAATCTGTTTTAGCTCTAAGCAGGGATAAAATTACCTCTGCGCTAATTATGGATTGTCACTTGGCGCTTGAGGAGGTGCCAACACTAAACAGTGTCACACTGCAGTGGATTAAGGGACATTCGACTCACTGGGGAAATAAGCACGCCGATAAGATGTCAAAAAGGGCCGCTGGGAAAGTGCCCTGTTCCCCTTTGTCGACAATAAATTGTCCCTTCTATGGTATCTCATATTGAGTTAATTAATAAAAAAAAATTCCTTGACTGGTGGGATAGAGTTAAAAGGTGCCAGTTAGCTAAGCGGCTATTAGTTTATCCCTCAGCTGACGCAGCACAGAAATTTGTGAGGCTGGGTAAGAGCGCCTGACCGGTTATTACGAGACTTGTTACAGGTTACTTAAGTTGTTGTACTTATATTGACAGCCCTCTCTGTCGTGCTTGTGAACAGGACGACGAGACGGTTTATCACATCTAGTCGATATAACCCATAACCGGAGTGAGTGTTGGGAGGATGTACAAGGGGCCCATTGAGGTTTAAGTGCTGCGTGCGTGCATGCCCTCCCCTTCTCTTACATATGTACATACAAGTCCTACCGGACATGTATCATTTTATTTCATACTGTTGAGTCTGTTCATAATATCTCCAAAAGTACTACTTGTCGGATCAACAAGAAATTTTAATTACTAAGTAGTATCTTCTAACGCCATAGAGCAGGTTTGGGTTACGTTTACTATTCGTAAGATAGCTTTTGCACTGGGTGTTGCTTACACATCGCAGAGAAGGGGTGACTCAGAGGCTTTCATCTGCTAACTAGAATTACAGTTCTCGATTGTTACCCCTACTGTAGACAAAGTGATACTTACGGGACTTTAATTTTGATTTATGTGGAGACCTTGACCGTTTGGGAGAAAGACTTATTGACGGCTTAGGGTGCGTTTACGTTGGAGCTGCGATAAACGATACTAGCAAAATAACGAAATTGTTGTCATAGTTTTATATGCAGGTGTTTATATTGGAGTGACGCGTTGTCACACGCTTGACAACCGACTAACGATAAGAGCGACGCTTATTGTATTCCCTATTTTCTTTGCTATTATCAGGTGTGGTTGACATGGATATCGACTGTTTAATTAGTGAAATTTTTGTTAGATCCCCCTTGTGGCACCAAAAAGATAAAAATTACCACAACAGATTTATTCTGACAAATCGTTTTCAATTCATTTTGCGCAGCTCTTATCGCTGCTCTCATTGTTGTTCTTATCGTTTATCGCAGCTCTTGTTCCAATATAAATACCTGCATATAAAACTATGACAACAATTTCGTTGTTTTGGTAGTATCGCCGCTATTATCGTTTATCGCAGCTCCAACGTAAGACGTTTAGACACCCTTAGACGTTTTTAATTTGAATCAAATCGTTTGGTCTCCCACTACATAACTAGTACCACCGAAACAATTATCGATCTCATTTTTGTTTCTGATACTGCTATCATTAGGGATACCGACGTTGTTTCTTCGGAAAGGTTGCTCTTCGACAGGTGGGATGTTTTAGTATATTTAGCAACTATCAGATTTTTGGGGACTGCCGTCGTTAACACAGGGCGAATTTTCTTAATATGGAGGTGAATAAAAGAGCCCTTAGGAAGTCAGGGCAAGTAAATCTGGCCAGGCTATTCGACAGGTGGCATGCTTTAGTATATTTAGCAACTATCAGATTTTTGGGGACTGCNCCAAATAAAGAAGCTCTGATCAAATTTGATGCTTTATTTTATCATCTGCATAATATAGAATTATGCAAGGTAGATAAACATAAGGTATGCTCATAGGGCGAACGAATTGGCACTCGCACGTCATAACCGCGTCATAGCCATTGTAAACAAAGCCTGTGAACGTACGCGCATGTACCAAGCCGCGGTGACGCGCGAGCGTCTTGTCATGTCTGGTCCTGTTCTCAGTTCGAATCGTTCGAATATTGTAGTATTAACTGCACAAATTTCACCGTTTGATCGCTTTTATCTTCCATTTTTACTTATTATTTTATTTATACGGCGTTACCTCTATGCCAAGCGACCAACACTGCTGTACGCCGGCCGCTATGCAGCTTGCATGTTCAAACCAGATCGCGACGCTGCGTCGCCATGTGCAGGTTTTCATTTAAAAACACGTGAGATGCAATGAAGCGTACGTCTTCCTACAATCGTGTCTAATACGCGTCTATGATGAGCAGCTCCGTGTGCAGAAGGCCTTTGGTGGACGAAATCGCGACGCTGCATTGTCTCTGCAGATTTTCATTTAGAAATACGTGAAATGCACTGAAGCGTACGCCTTCTTACAATCGTGTCTAATACGCGTCTATGACGAGCAGCTCCGTGTGCAGAAGGCCTTAGTATTCTTTCTTTCGTCTACTCGTCCGAAACTCGTCTCGACTCGTCGCAATACTGAAAACGTAGTGCAAGAATCGCAGCTCAAATATGAAACAATTGAAAAATGTTGTGATGCCATTTCTCCATATACAGAATGGTCTATTTAATGTGAGACAAGCGATTATCTCTAAAACTGTTCATTTTACATAAAAATGAACCAAATGAAAGTTGTTCTGTGCGAAGGGGGAAGCCATATGACGATAACATTTTTTGACCTTGATCTTATTTTCAAGGTTATATGAAGGTCACGATCAATTTTTTAAATGGCATCCTATATATTTTATTGTAAAATCTGAATCTGTGGATAAAAGTAAAGTAATTCAATAAAATCAAAAAATTTTACTATGTGGTTTTGCCAGTACAATGGCAAAACATCTTTCGAAAAAAATTTAAATTTTTTCAGAAACAATTAACTAACGTTTATAATCTAGCAAGAACAAATAGGGTTTATGTATTTTTAAACATTTTCCTACCCGCTTCGATACATTGTCTTTAGTTCTTAATTCTTAGAATACTATTTAAGAATGCTCAACAAAAAAATCCAGAAGAGGTACATCGGGTGACTCAATACCTTTAGAAAGAGGTCTAAAAGGTTCCGACATTTCTCCGCCTTTGTCAATTTGATAATAGAATAACGCATAAGAAACAAGAGTTCGTGGAACTGCTTATGTCGGCATTTTCAGAATATCGCTTTCAGAGACTTAATTGGTTGAATTGTTTTAAAATGTAACAGGTAAAGCTAAATTTGCATAAAAACTGCTTGGCAACAAATTCTGAATTCATTCCATAGTTTTACATTAAGGCAAAGTGTTTAAACTAATTGTAAGTCATTAAATCATGGATACTCTAAGTGATGCAGAAAAAGTCGAAATGATTTTTATTTATAGAGAAAGTGGCAGAAAAGTTGCTGATAGTATAGCTTTGTATCGAGAAGTTACGTTTTACGTTTTTACCTTTTACAGAGTTGTAAATGATTTCACTAACACTGGAAATGTGGAATCAAGAAAAAGAACTCGGCGAGCAACTATAACTACGCAAGAAAAGGAAATTGCGGTATTAGCTAGCGTTCAGGTAAATCCTCAAGTTAGCACTCGACGACTTGTAATTGACGCCGGAATATCGAAGACCAGCATTTTAAGAATATTAAAGCGCAACAAGTATCACCTATACCACATTTCATTGCATCAACAGCTTTATGGAGGTGATTTTGAAAATTGATTCAATTTCTTCGTCAATTTCTTTGGTAACGTGCTATTCTTGGATGAGTCTACTTTAAAAACAAATTACAAGTCAATACATATAACATGCACTATTGGAGCGTTGAAAATTCGAGATGGTTGCGTGAAGTAGAACATCAACGACCTTGGTCGGTTAATGTTAGGTGTGGTATAATTGGTGATGAATTGATCGGTCCATACTTTATTGGTGGTATGCTGAATAGGGAGAAGTACCGAAATTTTTTAGATGACGTCTTACCAACGTTACTTGTAGATTTGAGCAGGTAAGAAGGACAAAATATGTGGCTGCAAAATGACGGGTGTCCAGCACATTTTTCACATATTATACGTGAAGCTTTAGATCGGAATTATGCTGGGCGATGGATTGGCAGGGGAGGTCCAATTTCCTGGCCTGCCAGATCACTTGATTTAATGCCTCTTGATTTTTTTTGTGGGGCGTCCTTAAGGATAATGTTTTTCGCGAACAACTACGCTAGAAAACATGAAAGAGCGGATAAGAAATGCATGCAGAAATAGTAGCCAAGAAAACCTTTTAAGATGTAAAGAAAGTTTTAGTAGAAGGGTTAATAAATGTATTGAAATGTATTTGAACATTTATTATAAATTTTATATTTGTTGATTAATCATTTTTGTATAAATAAACAATATTTAAAACTATTTGAATAAAAAAATTATTTAGATTTCGTCT